ACAACAAGTAATTATGCGAGTCTGCAGGTTTGTAATACACACTAGTGCATAAACCGTTGCCTTCAATTGAAACTTTGATGTCTGATTACAAATACACCAGTTTCGTTATTGTTGCTGATCCCGGTGAATAAGGCTTATTATTACTGAAGTTCGTTTTGTGCCTCTCGCTGTTGGACTGAAAATTCTGTAGTGAGCTGGCGCACATTATCTGAACTAACCATACAAATAAACAAACAATGGGCTATTTTACAGTTGTGTACTTAATTGCCAAGCCTTTGATTTGGAGTGAGGCTGAAAGTGACCTTGTTTCGTTAGAGATCAGTATCTAATTAGCATGATAACAAAGTAATTTACATTTAAAAAATAGCAACATTTGTATCATAACAAGGTCGCCCTTAGCCTCACCCCTGTTCAAAGGCCCGGCAACCGAGCATTCAACAGTAAAATGGACCATAAGCCACACAACCTGATACTGAGAAAATCAAGCCGCCAAACAACCCGGCTTGAACCTTCTATACTTCCATACCGCTCACCGAAACATTGTTTAGATTAAACAAACCAACAATACACAACCAATTTTTCCATTACAAAGCAAACAAACCACCCAGTCAACTAAAACACATCCCAAACGACAACAACTGACTTTTCACCCAACCAGGTAACCAACGAAAATATCAAAACAACTTACTAGTTAACCTTGGACCTTGTGCTAACCTTATCCCTAACCTCCACTTCCCTCCCCGCCCAAAAACACAGTAGATCACGTAAGTAAGCAAAGATACTTAATTCACTGTTTACGGAAACTGTACAACTGATGTATAAATAGAACCTTGTACGTCAAGGTCAGGCTGTCACGAAAAAGCGTCATAGTCTACCATTAAAAATAATCTGCGAAGGAGTCTTCTGGAGAGTCAATTAACCCCAACCTTTTCTTCTTGTTCTATTAAGTACACTTAAGTCAGTGGTTTTGATAACAAACAGACTGCATGCCACTGGACTCTAAGGTTGTATGATGACTTTATTTACCTTCAAGTGGACTCAAAGTATAAAATTAGTTCTGTTGAAACTTAATACTACGCGATCGACGTAGTTGTAAACAGGTCTTCACTGAGACCAAATCTTAGTAAGCCATCGAGTTGCAGACATGTTTAAGTCATATCAAAAGTACATTTCTATGCCTGAGAATATCTCCACTCCAATATGCACCGAAACTGGACGCCTTTATAATGTAGCGTAACAAGAGAAGATTGAGAAAGTTTGCCGGCTCTAGTCTGAATTCAAGTGAACAAATTCAAGCGATCAAAGTGTAGACATAAACCACCGTTGTCGTAGAAAACAACGGACTAAGTGTCTAGGGAAACAAGATTTGTTTTAGTAAATCAAAATTTTTAGTTCTTAAGCCATGCATTGTAATGTTTGAATAAAGCCGGGCTCAAAAGCAACGAAATGGAAAATAAATATCTCTCAAAATACCATTAGTTCATCGAAAATGGACCCGAAAATCGATCTGTAAAACCTTTAAAAGGGGTAAGTTTCTAAATAAAAGTGTGGAGTTGCGTCGGTGGGGGATATTACAACGTAATTTGGTTTAATCAACAAAGTTGATACTCGTAAACTGAATTGGTGATCGAAAAGAGTGTCTAAAGCTGGCTTTTCGAACCATAGCCCTTCGTCAGAGCGAAATATAAACCGATTAGTCATGGCAGTCTAGTTGACATGGGCTCGGATTTATGACTGATTAAATGACCACTTAAAGATTAGTTTATGACTGGAACTAAAGAAATACAACAGAACTTTTTAAAAATACATGTTGTTATTTTAGGACAAAGATAATAAAAGCTATTTTAAATTTCCACGCCTGGGGCGGCCGTAAAGAGTTATTTTTACATCGCCCCATCAATCCCTGCAGTCTTGCAAAACAAAAACTCACAAATTTAAGAGTGCACTGTTCAAAATTGGAATTTTAGAATTTTATTTCAAGCAATACAAGTTCTATTTGTAGAGAAGTAATAATTTTGGCTGCCTTGTGAGGCTAGCTATATAGAGGAGGACCACATTCAGTGAGATAAACTATTTCTCTTCACCTGTTGTTGTCGCTCCATGATGTTAAGAAAGATATCATCAAATTTTTCACTTTGATGGATTGCTTAAACGTATCTCATTTACCTTAAGGAACAGAGGGCTGATATATGGGATTAACATATCCTGAATAAATTTTCTAATGCCTCGAATAAAACGCTATTTGCAAGTAGCCTTGGGAGAATTTTTGGCCAAATTTGAAGCCCTTTCATTGTAACATATTTAACAGCAATGAGCAAGAGATAAAAAGGAGGTGTGCATGCAATTTGCTGAAATTAAATCATTGGAAAGGAAAGGTTCAGTAGAAGAAGAGATATTTGCTTCATGGTTACTAGCAGCTTTGAGTTCGCTTTCATTTTTGTATCTAGAGCCTCGTTTTTTTATTCTCTACCGGATTAACTACGTTCCCTTCTTCCGCCTCTTTTTTTTTTTTTTTTGTAATTTGAAACCAGTTTTTCCTCGATAGATTCATTCCTCTCAGGATTTAGGCATTTTGAGTTGTTTTCAAAAGAAACGAAAGCAACAGAATATTACTAAAACGTCAAAGGTCGCTTGTTCAAACAAAGATTGACGTTTGAGCAAACACGCACACTTCTCATTTCCAATTTTAGCCAAATGTTTTACGTAAACATTGATTTGTGAGAATGTTGTCTAGATGGCTTGTTTCTTACACTTGAAGAACACTTATTTACCCTCTTACTCTCTTAAAAACTCACTTATATGAAATCTCGAGGCACATTGATCGTTTAAAACTTTTAGTTTGGGAAATCATTGCACACTCAGCTCTGGGGGAACTTTTCTTTTCAGCTTTCTGTTTGAAATCGATGGAGAATAAAGAATGTTAAAATTTCTATCAAATAAAGTCTTCCCTGGGGAAATATTTGAATTATTTGCACAGCATCCAAATCTTTCTAAAAGTAAACACGGATATCAATAGCTAATCCTGTCCTCAGATATCATATGGTTCTCGAAGTTCAATGTTTTCCTCGATCTCTACTTCTCTGAGTCTGCCTACGGTGTGAAAACACAGTCTAGCCGAAGTTCCATTCCTTTACAACAAGGTCTCATGTGAGTTTGTGTTCGTCACAGGTAACTACAGAACGCTGCAGAACAACTTCTACCTAAGCACCAAAGCTTCAGTCTTCTAGATTGTCAAAATAATAAGAATTATGTGGGCGTGAGAACCTGAGGTTACAAACAACTCACGGAATAACTTAATTCAGTACGTTGTAACTCTAAGAGGTATTAAAAAAAGACTTGTTATTATTAACCACAAACGCACGTGACGTCATCCACGAGACAAAAACAGGGTTACTCAGCTCCAAATAGCAACCACCTTTTTGCTTCCAAATTCCTTGCATTGCTGTCACGCTTGTCACGCTTGTCTAAAAAGAGGGAAATGCGATTTAATCGGCCTGAAACTGGAATTATTTCAAGGAAAACTCAGCTATTTTCTTTCCAGTAATACGGATTCTAGTTAAGTTTCACAAGCAAGTTTGGGAAAAATATGATTAGCTTCTTCTAAGCCTCAAGTAAGCAAACTTCAATGAGATGTTTTCAGACATGTTTACCTCTACTTGCAACAAGAATACTCTAGACGGTTCGTATTGACATTAGGAAGGATTATAGATCATCCAGCTTTTATATTTGCGTTATTTTCATAATATTTGCGTTGTCATGGAATATTTGTGGCTTCGCGGTTGTGGGCGAGAGATTGACTCGTTGGGATAGAACGTAAAGTTTAAAATTGCAAAAAAAAAAAAAAAAAAAGAATAAGAAATTTATCTGCACAAGGAAAAACCACAGGGTTCAAATCCAAAGTACTGTAAATGTCACTTCGATGTATCTCGTATGATCGGAGACACGTCTGTCTAAACTCACGCTTATTTTCAGTCGTGTCAAAGTATGGGTGAGACTTTCTAGCGGATGAGTCATGGTTGCAAATGTCCTGCAGTAGATTTATCCTGCATGGGAATAGCGTTATCCAACTTTTAAACAACCGGGACTGTCGTAATAATGTATGTACTGCTGTTTCATTCACATTTAGCAGTTGACTTTCTCTCTCGACGGAAGAAAAAAATAGGTGGGTTAGATGAGACTGGTGTAAAATTATTACATATAAAAATATCTCGTGGATTTTTTTTTTATTATTAATTTTTTCCTCTTACAGATTAGATCAGTGTATTTTGGGCCACTCACGCCCACACACTCTTGCAACCCAGTCCCACATTTTGAGAGTGAGCCTAAATCGGGACTTATTTACGTATGAACCGAACAATCTAAAAATGATACGTTCCCATTTCCCCGAAAACTTCCTTTCAATAGCCGCTGACTCAAAGAAGGCATTCAATTTATAACACATTTATGCATGAACGGATCAATCAATTAAACAACAAGTTCTCCATTTCCCAAAAAACTTCCATTCAACTTTTGCTAACTCAAATGAGACATGCCAAGGGTTCTTTCCATATTAAATGATAAGAACTCCTCTCTCCGTTCTGACTGAAACTTCGAAATGCTCCATAATTTAATGATGAATGAACATGAATCATGATCGCTGCAATTTTTTTATTCAATTTTTTATAACAGTTAACTAGATAATGTAATATTCAGATTAATTTTACTTGACATTTGTACACATATATATAATATTCATTTGGATAAACTTCTTCATTTCTTTCTTTTTTACAATTCTCGCTATAAAAAAAGTATATTCTCATTATTTTACTCGCTTTTAATTATTTCTGCTTATAGTAGATATATCTCCAGCAAGGAAATAAACATTTGTTGTATCACAATTGTGAGAGAAAAAAGTGTGCGATGCATGCGCGTAAGTACTATGAGTAAGCTATAGATAAAAGATTTTTTATACATTTACGATTCCGTTTTAAAATCCCTCTTGGCTCTGATTTGGTGAGGCACAGCTTCCGCTGTATTCACCGGCTGTTTCAAAATCCATTGACTGAGCCATTTGATCACTTTCCTGAGCGCTCAGTTTTTTGTTCTTCAGAGGGTTTTTCCTATCCAAATGGCTCCTTTTTTCCTTCAAATGATTTCTTTGATAATCACTGGAAATTGTCCACATTGACTTGTATGGACGCTTGGGGTCTGGAACACGAACAAACCGCTTTCTGAGTGACAGAGTGTGTCGAACGGCATTCTGTTGACAAAGAAAGAAATACTGGTTAGTATGTATCACAATGACCTCAATTAACTAGTGCTATCATGGTCCTAAACGGGAATAAAAATGAGCACTCCTCTGACGATTAACAATCACACGCCCTCATGCTGAGTTGATTTAGGATGTTTAAGCAGACGTAGATCCTTTAATGTGTTGAGACGCATTTGCATATGGATGGAAGAAGTTAGTTCCCTTTGATTTGAAGTGAACAACAAAAGAGTCGAGTGGTGAAATTAGGTGTTGGAGAATATTTCCTCTTTGATCTGTTTTCTCTGAGTCAGCAATAATTCTGAATGACGACGGTTCGGAAATCTTGACATTTAAGTATTGCTTTGGTCTATTTTTATATGCAAGGAGGCCAACATCATCAGCGGTAAACGCATTCCAAATAGAATTACATTGATCTCCCATCACAAAAGTTAAAGTCGTTCACGATTCTCCACGATATGTGCTTTCACTGGAAAATTGTATCAAAACCAGTTTAGATGGAAAAACCAAAATCTTTTCTCAGCGATTAGAATAGATTCATCTTTTTGTTTCCTTTCTCGTTACAGTGCGAACATACTATTAGTAAGACAGAAGCAATAGAAAAAGGATAACCATGAGTCTGCCAGGAAAGAGTCTGCGGTCTACAAGTACTACAAAACAATACCGTCGCGTTGAAGAAAGTAATTGTGAAACATTCACCAATACTGAATTTGTAACACCCTCATATCGGTAAAGATAGCGAATGGACCTTTTATGTAGAATTTCAAGATCTAAAAAAAAAATACTCGTCTAACTTAAGCAAATATTAGCTTCCTCTTTTTTTAGTTTTAGGAGATAACTGAACACAGGAAGACTTTGGGCTGAAATAGAAATACACACTGAAGGGATATGACATTCTCCTGGAAAGATTACTTCCGAAGAGGACCAATACAAAGACCACGAGAGATCCACAACCTGTTTGCAAGAGGCTTAAACTGGGTTTAATTTAGGTTTATAACATTGATTTTTTTTCCTGTTGGGACAGGATAACTTGGTGACAATTTGCTTTGATAAAGCCATACTAACAGAAAGCTAATTTTTTTGCATGACCTCGCGACGAATTCACTTCAAACTTCTTTTTTACCGTCAGGGATGTTCATCTTTTAAGATATTCGAGTCGTATCTTGGCCACCAGATTTAGCAATAGAAGATAGGCACGGTATTACATTGAGAGGTGGCGGAATTTCATTTCAGTTCTTATTCAAACTTTAAAAACACACAAGTATTGAGAAATTGATATGAAAACATCTTCGCGAAAAGCACGAGATATTGTAACCTCAGTTCCAGCTTGACGAGAACTAACTTAAAACACAACTCTCTCTTTTCTTAGCAATCGTTTCGTAAAAGTTGCTTTAGCCATGCTACAAATGTTTTATATCCTGTACTATCTTTTGCTTCTGCATATCTGTCAGATTTGTATTTTTGTTTAAAAAGTTTTAGTTTTTTTTTGTATGCTTCTAATACAGGAACGCCCTAAATAGCATCTCTCGTACACACTTTAACAAATAACGCATTCCTTCGAGTTTTATACCTTGATGATAATCTGACAAAAGTTCAGTCTTTGGGAAGAAAAAATACTGAAGACAAAAGCTTTGCATTTTGTGTAGTGTGTAGCGGAAATCGACGGTTTTAACGGCATCATAACACGAAGTCTCTTTTATAACATTTCTGTGGTCTACTCAATCTCTCTCACCGCTTTCTTCCCAATTATGCCAAAAGAAAAATAGTTGTTTGTTCAGCACCTTTGATAATTTCTTTTTAACAGAGTTGAAGCTTGAATTATGATAGGTTTTGATTTCAAAAGATATGAAAAGGGCAACAGCTAAACATGGAGAGGTAACCACGGATAGAAGCTCGAATGAATACATGAAACCGTCAGTGTGTGGACAAAGCAACTTGACTTACTGACTGATTTGTAGCTTACCTTCCATCCTTGAACTGATAGATAAGTCCCCTTGTCGTTAAAATATGGTACATTCTTGACAATCCAGCTGTAAATATCCGACAAAGTCATCATGTTATTGTTTGTAGATGTGATGGCCATCGTAATTAGATCGGAATAGGAGGCCCTTCCCCAAGGGTTCTGCTGTTGTGTGCGCGACTTCGTAACAGGTGTATGTGCTCTTGCTGGGGTCTGCGTCTCGGGGAATTGCGCCAATAAATCATCTCGACTGTTGTTTGAACCGGAAGAGGCAAACGAACGCGGTGATTCTAAACTCTCAATGTCTTCTTCTTCATTGCAGTCACCACTCCTTGGAGGTATCTCCACCTCCTGTGCGGCTGCTTCAACTTTCTGTCTCGTATACTCCGTAACACTTTGTATTGGCGGAGCTCTGCATGTTGTTAATAGTAGATCATTGCGATGATCTCTTGACCATCTGTAGTTTTGGTGCGAGGGAAGCAGAGGTGGTCTCCACGTTAAGTAATTTGGCGCAGACGCGGGCACGATAACACGGTCTGCTCTACAAACCACACACTCAAGCTCTCCGTCGATCGTATTCCGTGACCCAACGGTGCCAGTGTCCATGCAAACAGTTCGGGGATCGTGATTTCCTAAAGAAGTACTTGGATAATGTATCTCTGTCCTAGGTTTTATTCCATTTCGAATGGATTTGTTCACCGAGTCTGGCACTTGTATGAACATACTTGGATTCTCCTTGGGTTGAGCACTAGTCGATCACACGAACGCTTCGGACATGTGTTCGGACTGAAAGCTCGGGAGACTGATATAGTTTTATTTTCATCAACGATTATTACCGGAAACACTTATGTCGTCAAACGAATCGCTCCGACGTTACTCCGACTGTTGATGACGTCAGTAGAACTGTTCATTGAACTGAAAGAATGAATGTCACGGCTGAGTAAACACCAGACATGGACAAAATTATTTGTTTTGGAGATTTTGTTTATGTTTTCGGAAAAATTACTGGCATTTTCTGAAAGCTCTTAATATTTCCTACATAATCACGCAATTTTTCTTGAGAATGAAGGTCATTTTTGGCTGTTTAGGAAGTTTAAGTTTTATGGCGTGTGACCAACCTCTTACTTAGTAACAGCATCTATAGTAAACATTTACATATTTTCGTGTGAGATGATGCTAAGGGTGGTCGTGTTATGGTTATTTGATATTCTATCCAACAAAACTATAATCTTATGAAAATTTTTTAGAAATAAAAGTTTTGACTCAAGTGGAAGTCTAAAATTAACTATTCACTAGTCGTTCAAAATCACACGATACGTTTGTAACGAATATAACTTGTTCGTAGTGTGACGAAAGAATCCGCCCGCGCAGTGATGCGTCAGTGAGTACTCTTGTCACAAAAACCAGAAACTCATTTAAACCAAGTGAGAGCTAAACACCACTAGCATCTTGCTGTCATGATTTGCTTACACTCGAGAGGTTTGATAAAAGGATTTCCACTATAGAGAATTTATACTAAGGTGAAAATGAGGAAAGATCTCATTTAAATGACACTGGCCGACCTTTGAGACGGCAAACAGATTAAACGGTTGTTTGTGAATTATCTTTGTGCCTCTTTTCAAAGTATTCAATGTGGTGAATATACATAATCAACCTCATTTTATAACCACTCGGTTAGGTGTGAATATAAGGGGAAAACAAGTTTAGAAACTCGATTCAGACAATCAATGTTGAGTCATAACATTGTGACTAAACTTTTTGTCGAACAAGTTACTCGCGAACTTTGATCGGATAAAGCAAGTATTTTACGAACACAAATATTATAGTTCACTTGTTTTACTCTTTCGTATAAGAACTGAGAAGAGCTCAAACGAAAACGACTTGTTCTAAGAACCCCGAACGTGGAGTGAGGCCAACCAAATTTCCACTACGTTTGTCATTAGATTCAAACAGATTGGCTCGCATGACTCGCTACCTTACATGAATTATTTGCCACACAACTGTTGAATCACACTAGACTTGTCAAATTTAATCACGAGACACAATAAAAAAGGAAATATTGTATTATATGTATTCTTTGGTTATGTAATGTAAAAGAGCTTCATGCATGAGGCGTCATCAGTGACAAATTAATAACTTTGCCAGCACTCTAAAGGATACAGAAGTTACAAGAGAAAAGATTCTTCGTTGAATAAGAGGCAAGAGAAAGGATCATTACTGCTCTTTTTTTCATGTATGAGTTAGTGTTAAATAAGCGTGTGTTACCAATTATTTTTAGTAGTCCTTGTGTGTCCAAAATGTTATTCTTATAACGTCGGTGATAACTTATCTTCTACTTCCTCGCTTAACAAACCGATGGATTGACTGAATCTGAGGAGTCTTCTTTCAAATCAAATTTAAAATAAGCTCATTTGGCAAAGGCGAAGTGTCAATAGTGTGTCAAAATTATTGATTAAGGCCCTTTGTACATATGACAAACAGGGTTTCTTGGATCAATTATACTCGTTCCAGTGTTGAAAAATAGAAATATAGTATCAGAAGTGGTATAGAATTAAAAAGCAGTGGTTTTTATAAGATTTGGGAGCACTGAATTCAACTGAATAAGAAGTTGTTTTAATCGTTTGCGGCAGATGAACTAAATCAAAATACATTTGAATTAAATTATCTTTTGAAAGAAACGTTCCTATCCTCTAGACATCCGTTTTGAGTCACGTACGAAGTAAAGATATTAACAAATGTTGAAATTCCTCATCACGAGAATGAAATGTACACAGATGGTTGGTTGTTTGCGTGCCGAATACGAACCATGTTTGTAACCGTGTCAGGATCATTTCCGCTGCTTTCAAATCTTCGTTCCGCTATTGCGAAACTGTGTGACATACAGGCACGCCAAAGCACGCTTCATGGAAGCTTAAGTACCACGTGAAAGTCACTACCGGGTGATATTAGATAACTTGATTATTATCTTCAGGTGAATAACATTGATTCACATTATTTCTCAGTTGATAATTCGGATAAGTAACATTTTTCGTAAAACTGCCTCGCCACTCCTTAGAATGATTTGACTTCTGCGGAAATAAGACTTAAAACTGTCCAGCTTGTAAATATATTCAACATGGAGGTCTCCTTCCTTTTCCTCCTCACGTTCGATCCTTCGGTAATTTAGCACCTATCTCTGGCATTACGTATAATGTAGGTCTTACATACTTCCTATGCTTATAATACTGCTGTCTTCTAAGAGTACTAAACAAGGACCATTTAAGGTCCATGTAAATTATACTAATTTGAAAGGAAAGCACCCAATAAACTGTTTTTTTGTTTTGTTTTTGGACTTCTACAGCTTCATTGAATTTTTCGGGACAGGTTCGATGGTATTTGTCCTTCAGTTGCGTTGTCTTTACATTTCACGGATAAATCTTAAAGTCATCAGGTAAAGATTTTCAGAGGTAGTATTTCTATGCTTTTATGACATTATCCCAGTCGTTCGGTTACTCAAGACAAATGGTGTTAGCTAGCTTATATTTTTATTACTCGACAAGTGTTAGGTAAGGTTTATAGATGTTAGGTTATAATTAGGGACAATTGGTTTTATTTAGCACATGCACAAAAGTTAGCCTTAAGAAAGACATTTTGATTGGTGAGGTTCACTTGTGAGGATTTTATACATATCTGAGCTGACCATTGTTGCTTAGAAATAGTTTAAGAAGAAGAATTATAGAAGCCATTCTAGGGCTTCATTTACTCATACCAAGGTTCTTTCGTTTATCTTTTGCATGATCAAATTGTTTTGAAATGATAACCTTGGATCACACTTACAAGCAAGGGTAACCTAACCACAGCTGTTGTTTATCAATTTTTGGCAAGACATTATAAGTACTTGTCGAAATTTAAAATTGTTTGGTAGTGATAGAGGTGGACAGGCCTAAATTAAAAATTCATGTTAGAGGGTAAATTTTAGATTCACAACAGGCTAAAGAACCCAGAACTTACATCTTGTATGCATTATGCATTATGTACCATAATCTTTTCTGAATTAAGGGAATACCGGATTACCTGAGTAATTCAAAGGGCATAGTTTGCAAATGGTTCAATGTTCTACTCATACCTCCTAACTGACCACTAGGACATAAGAAGTAGGATGGCAAGCTTATAGTTTTTACAGAAACTGTTACTCCAATCTGGGCGAGCGATTCAGTAAATCTTTCATAAACAATGGGAAATTTCTTGAATTTGTACTAGCTCAACTGATGGGCAATTATAAACGTTTTACTGTGGCTTGCTGCGGGGTGTTTCAAGCAAAATTGCCATAAACCAAGCACAGTTATTAAAGCATGCACATGTAATACACTAAAATTCTCAAAGCAACCGGGTGTATAAATTTGACATGGTTTGATGCTACTCTGGTTTAGGGATTTAATGAATGTAACCGGAGAATTGCAATTCACAGACCCATGTGTTTAATGCACATGTGTATTTAACAACCAAGAAAATTTATCGTTACCTCGACGCCGTTGAGAGCCACAATGTCTCCTTGATGAGAAACGAAAAGTCCATCGTTGCCTCTAAAATGACTATCTTTTTAACCAAATTTGACAACCAACTAACTAAATGGAATAAAAATTATAATCTAGCCTACTGATTAAGCTGAGAAACTTTAAAGGTTATGGTTAAGATCATAGATTTGTTTTCATGTAACTACTGCTTTTGTGCTGCTCATTTGGGGGATTATCAATGGTTCGAAACGTTACTCTCATGTAAATAGGCGAACTGGAAACGCAGTAAAAAGTAACACTGATTGAATTGCGTCATGTTTTGAAGTTTTTCTTATTTTTAAGTTTCTGAGCGTGAAGATACCAAGTAGGTTTTAAGATCTCAGGGATTACAGAGTGAGCAAATTCAGATGAGTCCTGTTGTTGTTTTGAAAGCAGACTTTGCTGGTAAGTTTATAAAAATGATTTTATTTTCATAAAGAGTTGGAACAGATAAAGCCGAAAATATCAAGACACCGATAGCCATAGTAATTCGTCTCTCATAATGGTCAGTAAACACTGGTCATTAGTGAAACCCACTTTATTTGCAATTTGATGGTTCACAGTACATCTTGGCTATTAGCTTTACGGGAAGACGTAATCACTTACGTTTAGAAAATTTGCGCAACAGTGCAATTGTTCTCTTAAACTTAGCAATCATCTGACGTAAACAGACTATAGAGTAGTATTTTTTGGTGTGATGGTGTCACATTCAATCATAAACATTTTCTACAGAGTCAAAATTGCCTGTGAACTGTTATAAGAGGAACTAGACTGACATCATGCATTGTTGAGCTAAGTAGAACTTTTTAGCACTGAGAATCAGTCAGCCAGCTAAACCTGTTTAATCTTCAAAAGCCAATTCACAAATTTTTTTTCCTATTCCATGTACACCACTGCAAAACGCCATTGCCGTTCACATTTTGGTTGTTCCGGTGATAATCAACGTTGTACGATCGTCCTTTGTTACGTGTGCACTTATGTTATGTAGGTCAATGAAACAGTAACGAATAGGATGTCACATAAAACTGTATATCACTCATCCAAGTCACTTTTCTACAACCTGTCTTAGATTTTTCTTCAGAGAACATTTTTTCAGAGCTGATATCTGATTTTTTTTTGTTTTGTTATGTTTTTTTTGTTGGGTCATTGTCACAAGGAAAAAGTATAATTTTAGACTTTTTAGTGATACTTCTTAGCTCACGCATTTGAAACCATTATTACACATTAGACGCATAAGACAGATCACTTCACTCTCTCAAGAAATGCTTCCTCCCATCCCACGCAATAATATTTTATTAGGAATCGAATAAACCTCGAATACTGAAATAGGCCGGTAAACAGAGGTTGAATCTTAACCACATCTTGTGTTGATAACTGATTTCCCTCCGTGGTGATAGACTCTTTAGATAAACATATCGGTATAACGCAGACAAGACAAAATTAACAACGGATTACAAGGATTACAGATATTTGTTACATAGAGGGCGTTTAGACGTTAATGAATTTTACACATTCAAGGATTGCGGTTGTCTGATGGTTAACACTGTCACGCATGCATACGCAATGATGTCATCAATAATTACTTCTCAAAAATATTTTGTTATGGGCTTGTTGCTAATGAACAATTCAACTTCATTTTGAATTGCCATATTCCATTTTAGTGGAACATGGCATATTAGGTACGATGTCAATTGTAACTTCAATTACGTTAATGTAACGGTAATCGGGTATTTCAAATACTTCGCATGCAGCTAACGCGGAAATTTGCTCGTTACACCCTTTTCTCATTTTGCATCAGTCGTTTTGTTTAAAACTTTTAGAGGCTGGAAAGTTCATTTGAGTGAACCAAAGATCTTGTGTTTGTTTTCTTTAGAATATTGCCATCTTTGCGGTCTTTTCTTGTACTGAAATACGTGCAGAAATAGAACGTGGCTTAGCTGTTGTAAATCAGTCCGAATGGTATTAAAGAAATGGCTTGGTCTATCTGAAAGACTGAGTTTCAGTATAAAGATGCATTATTAAGTTGCACTGATCCTTTATCGCAAAATTGATGGCATTTGAGATCTCTGACATGAATTAAAAACCGACAACGCAAACTTCTAAACAGTATCCCAAATAAGCAGCTTAATACCAGCAGTTATGTTACATTCATCTCCCAAGCACTACAACTGTAGTATCAACATCTGGTAATTTTGTTATTTTAGTAAACGCGTCATCATGTATCACTCTCAAACTCTCCAACTTTACACCTTTGATTCTCTATTTTTTGATGGCTTAACTTATCCGGTAATTTTTACAAAGGATTTGCCTGATAGCCACTCGTGATAAAACTTTTTGTTTGCTGGCATTAGGCCATTCCTACTTTTTTTTAAAATTATATTCTTTATTCCATATGCTAGATAACTAAAAATATATTCTTCACAACACGATTAACCTCTCATTTACTCAGATTTAGATAAATACACCGAAAATAGCTTCTAACTTTGCGATGACATGTAAACTAGGAAAACGTTTCATCTGTAATACAACACGTTTCGTTTTAGAATGAAATCATAAAGTGATTAACGTAAATTCAGATATTTATAGTAAATGAAACTTGAGAATCATTCAAATGTATGGCAATAACAGTCCAAGGCAGTCAAATTACAGTACAGTCTTATGGTTCTCCTGCCAAGAGTGAGTTGAAAATACATCAAATTCTTAAGATTTTGTTCAGATAACTGCTAAGGAACCAAGAGGAAGACAACGGGAAATATAAAGCGCTACAAAAAATATCGTACAGCTGTTTCCGAGTCAATGCATTGACCCCTGTGAACGGATTTAGGAGCAAGGTCGCACGGATTTGTGGACTGTTTACGAAAAATCCTGAGGTAAACCAGATTAAAGCAGAAATTTAAACCGTAAACGTTTACATGTTGTGTTTCTTTTTATAAAGGATTAAATCTCGGCTTTTAACGTAATCAATTGATTTAATTGGGATAAAAATACATAACCCTCCTGTTGCTTTTGCAGTAAATAGCTCTTTATTTCTAGTTAAACGATTCACAGTTACTTACTTACCGGCAAATCTTTAATTCTTGAAAACAGACAGATTAAATCGCCGAGAACAAAGTTAGACTTCTTAACGGGAAAGCTATGATGGGTTAAAACAACATCAACATTCACATTAAATACGAAGGCAGATGATTAAAAAATAAATCATTATGCACATAATTGTTCCTGTGTTTCGTTAATTTCATACATTTTGGAAGCAGTGATTCTATCATCGGCTATATTCAATAGATGCTCTGTCACGCGCTGATGACGTCAAGCGGTGGGTAGGGCCGTGACGTCACCGCCTAATTGTTTACTATCTCCTTGAAGAGTAGCGTGATTTTTCAACACCACCGTTTATTGTTTGATATTGGAGGTATATTTTGATTTTCTTTAACACGGCTTCAGTATTCTGTATGTCCTATTTCTTAAGTCTTTGCTTCCTCGGTGATCGTTAAAGAAATATTTGTAAATAAATCAAAGTACCTATCGCGGAAAGAATAGCATATTTTCTAGAAATAGAAATACCAATGACAATTTTCAAATGTTTGGAATCTCTTCAGTTTTTAAAACTGAGAAAACAGATTCTTGTGAATAATAAATGGTGAGAGCTAAAGATTCAACAGAGAATTGAGAACTATGCAAAAATTACGGGAGATCATGGTTTTTCATGATTCGGAAACCCTTATATTTGATGATGTACAATTTGAATTGCTTACAGATATATCGTCATCTGGCGAAAAACAAAAGAAATTCGGACCTCATTGAGCTAAGAGCCACTTTATAGATAAAACTAATAATATTTTGTCTAACACTCTATCCTAAATAACGCTGCGGAGGTTGAATATATATTTTTTTTAAATGACAGCAAGATGCAAAGTTTGGCTTCAGAGCGGAAGAGGACGATATTTGACCAAGTAGCATCATTAACATGAAACTTGAACGTTTGTGGTCAAAGTCCGTCGGGCAGATACTGGGTAAAATGAAATCTGGAGCCTCCCTCTAAACTGATAAAATTACTCACAAAGCTAGTGATTCTGAGAGGATCGAAGAAGATAATCATGCATAATCTGAATTTCGCCATACCGAGCGCTTTTCAATACCAAAAATATTTTACCTCACAGAGTGATGTTATGTGATTTATTCCATCCACGTACAGTCTATGAAGATTTCTTTCAACGAAGAAGTGGGAATTGAATAATCAAGCGTCGTTCCTCGTGATAACAAAAACCTCCTTGAAATGAAGACATCACTTCCGTTTGACTCGCGCAATTTCCGTGCCGTTATTCCGCTATTGCGAAACTCAGTTACTGACATTTAAGGGAATTTTTAGCATAGTTGAGTAGAACCCAAATCAGTTTGAATAACTTAAAATTTTATTCTGTCAGGGGATAGCAACTATTTACAACCGACGAAAGTACGAGAGTGCATAAAAAAATGAATTATTTAATGGGACATCGATATTGCCTGGTCGTGCTAACAAAGATGTTTGTATTCAATATAGGTCATCATTCCACCCCCAACGCACAATTACTTTGACAAAAATATACTTAGATCAGATGGAAATTTATTACACGTTACCTCATCCAAAGATTACAATGAGAATAATACAAAAAAAAAAATGCAATGCTATGCGTCATATGACACGAATTCAAAAAAATACTTTTGCCTATATACCTACGCATCAATTTTGACTTTTTTTCAAGCAGCGTCATACTTTACTGACTTATGACTCCTAAAATTGTAACTAGGAAGAGGCACATTGACTAAATAACAGTGGGAAGGTTTCTGCAACAATCTTCGCTTTGGAAGCTAAAATGAACCGAAATGTTTACCGACAAATTACTGTTGAATGAAAATCAAACAGGAAACACGCACCTATGAGCATCGACTAAGAGCTGGATTCGGTACTCTGTTGTTTTAGTAATTTTTATTTATTACTACAAATTTTTATAAGATGAAATGGCCACTGCAGAGCACACTTTTTCAACCGGAAATGTCGGTTCCGTCACAGGAATGTCGAAGCTGTTCGCTGCAAATAACACTGGCTCAATTTTCTTTTCATAGAAAAATTCCACTGAGTACGTACAAAGTTCCAGATACCAGAATTGCACACCAAACTGTCGCTAGCTTTCCACTCACTACCAATCTTTTTACAACTACAAAGGAATACATTGTGTGAATACCAACCACTGACCAAGTGCTTTTCTAAACTGCAGTTGCAGTTTGAATAATTCTCGTACCAGTTCCCTCGCTGGCATATTTCACCCCACTTTCACCCGCACCTCAGGAAACTTGAAAGTCAAGCATTCCTCTACATTGAAAGACTTTACGCTGAACGCAGGTATTCCACAGAGAATCCAACAATACAAGAGTCTTACAAGCTTGAATAAGACACTCAGCGCCTGCAGTCTTCTTATTAGGACTGGCGATGTTTGACTTCGATTAATATTACAGTAGACAGTGGGGATAGGGGAAGGTAATTTCTATTGCCCCACCCCTGTCTCTCTCCTTCCTTTTGGCCGTCGCTCACCCGCGTGGCACAAATTTCTTTCCCCCCCCCTCCCCAGCCTTGCGATGCTGTAAAAAATCAAAGGTAGCCGCTATAAATTTTCTCTACGAGAATACTGAGCACTCGGTTCACCAAAACTACGCCAACTCTGTAGGCCTGCAGAAGTTACTGGTTTTTATATTGGTTAAGACTCACTATTCAGATCATTTCAATTTTATTTGCCTGTGAGTGAGGAAGGGTTACGGGGATGGGAAAGGTTATGTGCCCAATCCACCAACCCCTCACCTATACCATTTGTTCACCAGAGTGGCTTTAAATTACGACATAACCGCTTACGAAAGTGCGCGCTCTGATTGGCTTATACCCTCGGTCCATATGTCTGTGGGTTGCATTCTCATTTCAGTTTGTTTTCCTTCTTTTTTCAACTTCAAACAATAAATGTTTGAAGTCTCGGTGTTATAAGAGAAATGGGCATCGTGCAACCATCGAGTTATGGATGCACTTGGGAGCTTTGCTAAGCACGAAAGAAGCGTAAGAGTCGCACGAGGCGATGGCCGAGTGCTCAGCAAACCTTCCGAATGCATCCATAACTTGATGGTTGCAGGCTACACGGTAACCGTTGCTCAATTCTAAACTTGATGAAAAGGAAGAAAAAAAAAGAATGAACTTACCTTCATGAACGATGTAAACAATTTAACTGATGGAACTGACTGAAAACGGATTGCATCGGGAAAGCACTGGGAAAGGGGAACGGAAAAAAGGAATAAGGAAGGATGAATGGAGAGTAGAGAGAGAATTGAGAAAGGGAAAATTGAAACGAGTTTTGACTGATTGTATATAATGATCTACAATGTCCACGCACTGTAGAGAGTGTGCCGAAAAGCTTGAGCTTTACCTGGCACTCAATCCAGAGACTGTCCCAAGACAGACAGGAGTGGAGAGCTTTTGTTGCTGCGCTACATGCCAGGAGGAATAATGGGGAGGATAGATAGATAGATAGATAGATAGTTAGTTAGTTAGATAGATAGATAGATAGATAGATAGATAGATAGTTAGATAGATAGATAGATAGATAGTTAGTTAGTTAGTTAGATAGATAGATAGAGATAGATAGATAGATAGATAGTTAGATAGATAGATAGTTAGATAGATAGACAGATAGATAGATAGTTAGATAGATAGATAGATAGTTAGATAGATAGATAGTGATGGAACTGACTGAAAACGGATTGCATCGGGAAAGCACTGGGAAAGGGGAACGGAAAAAAGGAATAAGGAAGGATGAATGGAGAGTAGAGAGAGAATTGAGAAAGGGAAAATTGAAACGAGTTTTGACTGATTGTATATAATGATCTACAATGTCCACGCACTGTAGAGAGTGTGCCGAAAAGCTTGAGCTTTACCTGGCACTCAATCCAGAGACTGTCCCAAGACAGACAGGAGTGGAGAGCTTTTGTTGCTGCGCTACATGCCAGGAGGAATAATGGGGAGGATAGATAGATAGATAGATAGATAGTTAGTTAGTTAGATAGATAGATAGATAGATAGATAGATAGATAGTTAGATAGATAGATAGATAGATAGATAGATAGATAGATACAGTGTGGAATTTTTTTTTCCAGGGGTAATTATGGGCATTCGTGCTCTACTCTCTAGGTCGCAACGGAAGGAAAGGAATGGATCGATGATGGGGGAGAGAAGTTTACCCTTTTTATGGTGGCTGAACACAGTTTTTGATACCTTTGTTTCTTTCACCATTTTCTCGAAAACCCTTGATCTCTCGGTCGCCAAAATTGGCAGCAAGCAAGTTAACAACACAAACTTTGTTTTTACAAGGTTAAGCAGACGTATATGTCGAAAATTGTGTTCAGCCATCTTAAATTTTTTTGTTTTGTTATTTCATTGCCTAGAACTAAGCAATTAGAGCAAAAAAAAGATCATACGAAATAACGTTAATCTAGTTCTTAAAGACAGCAACAATTTTATATCTCGACGGCCGGTGTTCCGTCACACTCGGAGGACGAGTGACCCATTTAAATTTCTAAGGGTTCCTGGCGAGTGCTTTAGTCTTCTAAAAAAGCTAAAGCACTCGCCAAGATCCCTTAAAAGTTTGTAAAATTTTACCAGGTGTCATGGTAAATTGCAATTTTTCAAAATCGTCATCCACTTGTCGTGATTTTTTGCTTTTCTTTTATCGTGCCATGAAATGTCAGTGAGCATCAGGTGTTTGATATCTGACCCTCTCCAGGCGCCGCGTTCGACTGACAAAAGAATATTATCCAAGAGTGAGGTCATTTTCAGTCTGAACCGGTATAAATCGCAAAAAAAAAAAAAAACACTACTCTTAGGAAACTGGATAAAAATGTGTAGCATTGTGTCAAACATGACAAGAACGCAATGTGCCACAGCGCTTAAAGCACTACCTACATGTTTGCAATGCATATCAATTTTGCTTCTATGTGACTTGCAAACAACTAGCCACAAGTAATGGTTCGCTAATGACATCTACTTAACCTGATCAAAACATGAATGTATGTTATTTACCGGGCATGTGGGTAAAAAATTTACTCAAGACCAAGGGCATGTTTTTTTTATTTTTCTATACAAACCTAGACCTAGACCGGTAGAGAACCGGGGAGAGTGGGGAAGTAAGGGAGGGTAGGAGGATCATAAGAATATTACACAGCCTTACGGGGGAGGGGGGAACAGGTAAATTAAATCGTAACACAACCAAAATTCTCCGATTCTCCCATCCCTCCTCCCCCCCAGGCGAAAAAAAATGACTGACCTCTACATAGCTTAGCTTATTTGTTTCTATTTTTGTTTTGTTTTGTTTTTTTTTTTTGCTTTTTTTCTTTAATTTGTAGCGTATGGCACGTAAAAAAAAAGTTTAAAAAAAATCTGGAATATGATCTGTATTTCAAAAGCTGGACTGATTCCAAGTGCGCAATTAGTCACCTGGAAATCGTAATGAATTAACACTCGCCTAAAAGACACCATCTGCCTTATGATAGATAAGTTATAGGCGAAAGATCTTTTGCGTAAGGCGTAGGGTGAGCTGAAATTGAGCTGGAATTGGCCAGCGCCGCTCAAGGGGAAGAGGTTCGGGGAATTTGCAGAGACTGTGGGGCCAGTGGACTTGCAAGGAGAGAGAGATATTGCATGCAACGGCGTAGAAAAGGTCTTAACTTTCCTAGAGACTTCAACGGCCGATGGCATTTCTGCCACGTAGTTATCCGATTTACTAGTTCGACATGCGGTGGCTTTTAAACAAGTGAGAACAGTTCGTATGTTTTCTTTCAAAGAAAGGGTTTCAAAGAAAACGTATGCAAATTCAATGGGCAAAGTCAGGTAGCCCGTTTTCATGCAACATGACAAACATGCCTGTTTAGTGATTTATTCAAAGCGTCCTTGAATACTTTCGTTGTAAATTTGAAACGGAGTTTTGAAGTTATCCCCAATCGCTCCCTCCTCTTTGGAAATTTAGAAAAATGGCTGTGTTTAAGGTGATCGCTGCAACGCAAACAACTACAGGCCCATTACCGTCTTTCTGACGATAACAAGAATCCTGCATGGAAAGAGCTACCAGACATCCCGCTATATACTTAACTCATGAACAATGGGATCCTTACAACCAAACTATCTGGGTTCAAACCGAAGCTATCAACTGGGACAGCCTTGACAAATTTTACCGACAATATCTTACAGAATATGAACGCCGGTAAATTCACAGATGCTCTGTTTCTGCACCTATCTACAGCCTTCGACACGGTTGATCTCCACCAACTACTGCGGAAGCTAGCGAATATTGGTCTTAGCATCTCCAGGTCACAGATCACATCAGTCGGAGATGCTCGGTGTGCACCTTTCAACGTGCCCATCGGGGTACCTCAAGGCAGCATCCTGGGACCAGCTATCTTTTTGACTCGTATGAATGATATTCTCAGTAGACTCTCAGCTAGCAAGTGATATCTGATTATTGAGCCTTTATGCCGACGACAATGTGATTTATTCAGGCTCATCCAAAAACCTTAGTGACCTTGAAAATCGGCACAGAAGATAAATCAGAGGGTAAGCCTGATTAGGAAATATTTTGCAAGCCAGAGTTAACTTGCAAAATACCCTTACATCTCCCTCTTTTTGATAAGAGAATTCAGTATTTATTTCTTATTAACCGAGCGGAAGCTCTGTATGGGAGAATCTTGACCGAGATCGCCAGTACAGACCGAACGCAGTGAGGTCTGTACCGGGGACCGAGTTCAAGATTCTCCCATACAGACCGACCTAGCTCGGTTACTAAGATGTTTATTATATGGCTGTGTCTTATATGCCAATTTTTTATATTCTTTGTACCTTTTTTTTCTAGACAGGTCTAGATGCCGGTCTAGATGGGAAAATCTAGACCGCTTTCAATATTGATTTCAGCCAATCAAATTCGTGAATTCGGTAGTTCCCAGTCCTTGTGAGACACAGCCATAAAATATGAGGGAATGAAAATACTGACCCGGCCGCCCCCCTTACTCTTGTGTCAGAATTACAAGCCCTACAAAATAAAGCTTTCAAATTTCCAAAAGTACTCATCCTAAGGGTCATCAACCAAACCATAAAGGAGTTTAGACCCCAAGCCCCTCTCTACAAGACCACTTTTCCACCGTTGGATTTCAATCTAGAAATCTCTAATTGGCGAAATTGATTATAACCATTTTTTTTTTTCGAAATCAATCACCTCCACAATGTTAAGGCTCTGTCATCATAGAAATTATCTTAGTTCACATTCTGAAATGCTCATTGGAAATTGGGAAAATCGCTTTGAAAATGGACGTTTTGGGTAATGCAAGCCCTTGTAATCAAGAAAGAAATCGTGTTTCCCGTCGTTCTACATCTAAGGAAGCCTGTTCTTCGCCTTGTTCCCTGATATGCCAATAACACATTTTAGTACATTTACTTTCACAGTAGATAGCGTTGAAGGCGCATTCTGATTGGCTACTCAGACTCCGAACATACGTTGCTACTCACCTTCGAGCAACTCGTGTGAGATTTGCGTCAGAAAATATTGTAATCGTTGTGGGAATAAACGGAGTTTAAATCTTTTTTGTGTGTTAGATTATCTTACTGTTTTGACATATACTAAAACAACTATACACCTCAGTGTCGTTGGCTAGTAGTGGATATTTATCTCGCGACGCTTCGAAGCTTGGCAAATATCCACCACTGGCCGCTTTCACTTCGGTGAATAGTCATAAAGTATTAACATCGGTACAAAAATAAATAATTACCGAACTGAGACCTAAGATTTCAGAATTTACGCATATCATCTCGAGAACATCGAATCAATGTTAGTGTAATAGAAGCTGCCCAACTACCCCTCCCTTAACTTTAACCCCAACTTGTTATCAGTCGACTGTAGTTGGGTTAGGGGTGGGGGGTAGTTGTGCAGTTGCTTAGATACTGACAATGTCAAGAAGACGCCAAAAAAACATCGACTAATTTATGAGAGAAAACAGCGCTTTATGAGTACTCATTCCAACAACCAATGGAAATTTGTTCGAGTGATTACAAATGTTTAGTTTGAATCCGCACTTCGTTTAGATAATTTGCTTAGTTAAGCGAAATTACAGAATATTTGCCTCGACTTTGAGAGGCGCAAATTAAAAGTTGATCACCACGGCAACATTAAAGGACGCCAAAACATATGTAGATCAGAAACGAGACAATTACGATCAAGACGTTTCAATCGCGACTTACTGAAAGGGGAAATAGATTCATAAACACGTCAAATTGTAAATACAACTGTTTGCCCTCACATTAGCGAACCAGTCATTTTGAAAGTCATTATTTTTAAGATTGATGGTTCCGAAACAGAACGCCGAAGGAAGGATCATATATCGAAGAATGGTGCTAGTGAAATCTCGAAATCTTTTTCTCCCTGGCTATTCTGAAATTTACCTACTGTCTCAACGCAGGGACAGAACGGATTTTTGTTGTTTTTGTTGTTTTTTTCCCGTTTTTTGGAAAGTAAGGAAGAAGACGTAATAGCGAGTTCCTTACATCTGCAAAGGAGACCATTTGAAACGTAAATAATAATAAAGAAGATAAATAAATAAAAATAGATGAATAAAAAACAAGATATTGCAATCGAACTTTCATCATCGTGTTTCAGTGAACCAAACGGACTTACAGCTACTCATTAGTCGAAATTCAAACGCCGTTATTAATACTTTTTAAAAAGTGTATTTCATAATTTTCTTCATAAAAAATTTCTACAAAAGCGTTGTCTAAATATACTGGTTTAAAAATTCTGACATTTATCTTGCCTGAAGGGGAGTAATTTTTTTTGTTGATAGATTTTTGAAATCCGAAACGAATTTATTGAAACTGTTTGATTTCATTTTTTCAATTTAACGGCATATCGTTAAATCTACTTTGCTATTCGGCTGTGTTTAGACACCTAATTATCGCAAGTGTATGATCTACGATTGCAATAATCAATATGCAACTGATTTTCGGGTTTCTCTACATTGATCATATCTGCAATCCATAAAACGAGGAATTTATAGCTTAGCTTAGCTTTTCAACGCCCTCTTACGAGCACTATTCCAACAAAATTGCCAAAAACATTATCATTGAGAAAAAAAAGTTATCAATTCTAATTAAATTTGATTTTCACTAATTTGCACTATTGAATATATTTGGATGGTCATTGCTGAAAGGATGGTCAACCGCTTTTAAAATTTCGTATTTGTTTCCATTATCGGTTAATTTGACCAGACAACGCGGGGGCGAGCGGATTTTGTTGCAGACATTTTTCAGTGTGGACTTAAGTTGAAGATCCATCGGACAGGCAAGCGGCGTCCTTGTGTCGCGTTAACATAAAACTACTTCGGACGAAATGAAATTTCAGAATTGACACGAAATGTCAAATTAAATGACTTGTTAAAGGGTTACTTATTGAACTTGTTTTGTTATCCTTTCTTAAAAAAAAAATTGATCGAGGAAATATATGCAATGTTCTGACGGCGGAAGGGCTTTACCACAGAAAACTCCAATTCCATCAAGATATTATAAACTATTTCCCTTCTAGTCTTTTCTAAGATGATCTGGTTAATGCAAAGTGACATTTTATGCCAGATTTTTTCTCTCTTTCACCTGGTAAATTATGGAAAACTTTACTATTTAAACAAAAATGTAGGTTCCAAGACTGTCGATTGAAATTGTTTGGTTTGTAAAACACACGGTATTTGTGTTAATGCTGCGTGGAGCGCCTGTACAAACCATTAGATCGACGTAGCTGCCTAAAGGTGAAGAATATCTAATCAATTCACCCCAATATAATACCTGAGACCTTTATTTGAATACCATGAATATTTATGCGGATATTCTATAAAACAAAATCGCCTTAAAGGTTATCCAAAGTTCAGGAAAGCTCATTCGCTGAATATTTTTCTCAGAAAGAGTTTTCATTCTTAAAAGATTACAACAAAAGACTTAAAACATCTCAGCAAACTCACCGAAAGAGGCTTGAGCTTAAAATAAAAGGCTTTTCTTTACGTCGAGAAACAAATACTGCCAAATTTTCAAGATTGTTGACAAGCAAGGAAAAGCAAGGTCACAAAGTAGCGCGGGACGACTGTGTCTTTTACCGTATCTAACTCAATTTTTTGTGTCTTTTTTAAAGCCTTGGAAGGTCTTCTACAGGGATGGATGAATATCGCAACCAAAATGCTTGCCTTTTTGCCAAAGTGATAGACTTTAGCATGGAGGAAAACCAACTTGTTTACATTTCCAATGTAATGACCTGCATTTTCAACGCGCTGTTCGCCGTTCCAGCCATCGTTGGAAATATTCTAGTAGTGTTAGCGATCTGGAAAACGCATTTGACTCGTTCTCCGTCAAACGTCTTGCTCTCCACGCTGGCGTTTGCCGACCTTCAAGTTGGCTTAATCGTTCAGACAACATTTGTCTGTCACAAGATGGCTGAAATCTTCAAAGCTGCAAAGCTGTCTTGTTACACTCGCTTTGCGTATATTGTGTTTGGTTACTGCATTACAGCAGTTTCCCTTCTTACACTGACAGGTATCGCCCTGGAACGATTTTTGGCATTGCACCTACATCTGCGCTACAAAGAGGTAGTAACAAAAAGACGGATCTTAACTGCGGCCTCTTCTTTCTGGGTAATAGGAATAGCTGTGACTTCGTTATTTTTTATACAGAGGACTGCGTTTGGCTCAATTGTGATAGCCGGTGAAGTCTTATCCATCGTGATAACCTCTGTGGCATACATCAAGATTTATAAAATAGTGCGTCGTCACGCCAGAGAAATACAGTGTCAAAGGCGAATTGATCCCGGTGCTCATGTGGAATTAAACATGAAAAAATACCAGCGTTCGACGTGCACAATGGTGATTGTATTTATGCTATCGTTTGTCTGCTATGTTCCTTATTCTCTCGTGATGGTAGCTAAACTCAAATACGGATTTACAGGATCGGTAAAAGTTGCAACTGACATATTTTCGACTGTGGTTTGTATCAACAGCTCTTTGAATCCGTTTATTTATTGCTGGAGAATGAAAGAAATTAGGCAGGCCGTCTGGGGAGTGATCAAACGAAATACGGGAGTTAATCTCGGAGCCACTGAACAGAGTATGATGACATTCAACCCGATAACGCAACCGAAAGCGCTGGATTATGGCTCTGGCTGTAAACCGCTTCCCCAAGCAACACACGAGAGTGTCAAGTAACGTACAAAAAAAATAAACATCTCTAAAATCATATCTTTTAATTTCAAAACTTGGCGGAGTGCAGTTTTTGTACTGGGAAACTTGAATTTAACGGTCAGAACTAGGATCAGGGCAATTAAGGATATATAACTTCATAAACAACATTATTATCAGGGAATGAAAGAGAATCTTTAGCTCCATAAGTATTTACTGAACATTTAAACTCATTGACAGGTTCATGAGAACTTTGCTGCACGTTTAGAATAAATCGGACTTGTACCCACCGGCGGGCAGATAAAATAACTTTTTTTTTATCTGTAACAGCCAAAGTTATATATGGTTCACTTTATCTCATACTGGGCTTTGTGTTTAGTTTAATCTACTTTTATTTAGTCACCCTGTTGTCAAACATATCAAGTTAAGGCTTGTTGTTGTTAAAATGTGAATTCTAATTTAAAAAATTAAAAAAAAAAAAAAAAAGCTGCCAGTCTTTACAAAAAGCCGCTTTCTTTTTTGTTTCTATTATTTTTCATAGTTTTACCAGATTGTGGCACACGGGAAATAACCCAAACATTCGTTACCTATCGGTCGATTTGAGTGACTAATTTCATCTTCATAACAATTTTTTTTTTTTTTTACACGAAGATTGTCTTTTTTCTTTTGAAAAAAGCATCTTTGTTCCGAGTCGAAGAAATAGCCGAGAAGTTAGAATTCAAAACTAGTTCTTAATTTTCGCTATGGGCGACTGAATCAGTCGTGAGTTCATACATAATATATAAGTTAGAAAAGTGAAGTAGAATTGTCAGGCCAAAAGAAGACCGTGACGTACAATGAAAGCGATTTTTAAGATATTTCGCAACAACTATTCTGTCTAAAAAGGGCGATTTTGACATTTCATAACTATGAATGAAGCAATCGCCAGCCAGTGACATGTTGACTTCGATGTCATCCAACTCACTAGAGTTAAGCCTTCTTCTGTATCTTAACAACATCTTAATTTCCCAAATGTTGTCGTTTTGATTCGCACGTTTTCTGCAGTTGTTTGCCTGAGAACGATTTCAATAATTCGTCTTCGCATACAGTGAAAGACGAAATGGCACTGAAAATGTTTCGATATCTTTCCCTAACTCGTCGACCTAGTATTTCATTATCAACACCTGCAAGTCAATTATTTGTTGTTTTGATGCCTTCTTAACCGTAGTATTTGCCTTTTAACCCAAAATTCTTTCTACTCTATCGCTGTTCACGAAAAAATTTCCTCCAGTTAAATACTAAGAAAACGATAATCTTTTTAACGAGTCTTCTTGGCCTGATTTACAACACTGAGAATCTTGCATTTTTCTTTACTATTGTGACGATGAAGTAGTGCAATTTGATAATAGGATAATATCACTACTAAAAGAAATCCGATAGATGGAAAGGAAAAGTTTATGACTGTCAAGTCAAAGGACGTAATAAAAAGCGGGCGCGCGCAGTGAAGATACTATTTTTATCTTTCGGGTGTGAGGGTATTGGTGTCGCCATGGTTATTAACATGGTTACTTTTGCTGTTATAGAATTTTTCTCTTCTTCGCTAGAATTTTGACGTTTAGGAACAGAAAATATGAGTATCATTGTCTTTATTTCTCCTTTATAACTTTATATCCGAGTTTCCTTACATTTTTGTGACAGGCATTTTGCGATAGGTGACCACTTTAATTGCACTATTTTGATGCTTCGAAAATGAATAAAAAAAGTTGTGTTTTATGCGGAAATTTCATCAGTATCTATAAAATAAACAGAACATTACATGGCCGCTTGGGAATACGAATTTTATCTTCTCGCGCTGAAAGTATCTCTCACTCGTTCGCTTCGCTCACTCGTGAAAGATACTTACAGCACTCGAAGATAAAATTCGTATCGCCGCGCGGCCATGTAATATCCTCTATATATATCACGTCGTACATATGTTATCTTTCCAAGGAAATATTTTCTTATTCAAACCACTCGAAAATTTTGCTCTCGAAGGATTAAATATTTTTTAACCTTCGCGTAGCATTTTGTTTGGCCGAATCTCCCTGGCGACACACATTTATTTATTCTGTTCTATGGTTCTGAATGCCTCCCTAGCTAAGCGGAAAAAAAGGTTTGGCAAGTTTTACCGAAAAATCAACTTGTATTAAAACATATGCCTAATTACCCCTGACTGTGACAAGTTGTTTAAAGAGTAAACCCGTACTCAAACAAACTTGATATAACAGATTAAGCTCACTGTCGCACCCCATGTTTAAGCTTGACAAACTGGAAATTAATAACAACTTAAATTTATAGAAAAATGAGAAGTTCCTCATAAAACAAGAGATTTTACATGGTTTTCACGCCTTTCCAGGTAAAGACGACGATGATTAACAAAGATTTTCTTGGAGAACCAAAACTGGTTAGCCCTACCGACATGATAAAACCAGAGTGTCGAATGCTAGGGGTGGGAAGGATACAGCCGGTAATCACATTCCAGCTCTTAGAAAAACCACCTGCTTTAGGGAGACACTAAAAGAGCCTCATATTAGGCCATTTTAAAGAATCTGAGCAAGTTGAAAATTGCATTTGACAGCGCTTGTTTATTTTGATAAACACTGATGACGCAAAAGAGCAAATTGAATTTCATAACAACTTGCACTAGAATTTTATTCCTTTATAACGTTACGATCTAACGTTGGGTCACTTTAGTTTCTGGATAGAAGATATTTTATTCGAAGTGACTCATTCGACGAATGCTCATTCTTTTTAGTAATTTTAGGAAATAGTTTTCTCCCCAAGAAATCTGAATTGGGCAGCTCACCCAGACTGGTTGATAGATCTTTGTCTGTCTGGGCAATCAGTCTAAATGTGTAACCTCTGGAGCTTATTTATTGGAAGTGTGGACCTGGTGATATGGTAACCAGGCCTGCACTTCCCTTTCTCGTCATAGCCCTCCGAATACTAAACTCGCTACACTGCAATGCCGACTATCTGTCAAGATAGAATGATTTCAACTCTGCCACTGCCATCTGTTTATGGACTTTATTGCAGCTAACTTTTAGTGCGCAGTTAAGCACTGGCACTAGTTATGTGTGTGCACTGCCTTTGTAAAACGGAGCGGTGTACCCGCCTTGTAATATTTATAGCTCAGTGATGGACGCTTCCATTCTCATACGCTCTATACAACACTCTGAACTGCGGTTGATTTTTCTCTGGTTTTTTAATTCACTTTAATTCTTAATTGATGATATTTTTCTATCACTATCATTGGAAAGCGCCGCTGGATCTTTGAGAAGCTTTGCGCTATATAAGCTATGTATTGTATTGTATTGTATTGTATTGTAGTTTGGACAAACTGCTCTTGATTTTTCAGTATCGCTATACATTTTTTCAGAGAAATTTTGGGCTAGTAGAGTTCTGCGAGATTGTACATTTGAGACTTCGTTTTCATTTATCAAAATTTCAACTCAAGAACTTGCAGGCTATAAATACCTGACATAGCTAGTCTTAATAACCTCTTTCCAATCTCAATTTTTGTAAGCTAAGTTTTTCCACTAACACTGACCCTGTGGGAAAAAAAAAAAGAGCAAGCAGCTTCAAACAACGGTGCCTGTCAGGAATTTGACGACCAACGACTTTTTGTAGACGAATCATTATCGAATGCTGAAGTCTAACAGCTGCAGCTGACTTAAAATTGCGTCTTATTTTGAAAGATAAAGCAATAAATGAATCGAGATTTAAAAAAAAAAAATTCGATCGATGTCTGGATATTACACGGTGGCGATAAGATTTAAATGTGCAAATCGCAAGATAAGATATTGTCAGTTGCCACGAGAACATAGAATTCATATCTTCGAGCTACAGTTTGATTTTCTTTTTGTTATATTGATAATAAGACGGGCAGCATTCGAAACAACGAACAAACCAAGTTCATTCCACAAGGTTTGAAAAGGCGGGGATCGTAACGTCGTTGCTAAACATGACTAAGCGTGTTACATACGAAAAATACGCCACTAGGCTCCCAGATGTAACGGTCGTATTGATTTTACATGCGTTTTAAGGACCGGTCATTATCCATCACCGAACCCCCCTATGAAACTGTGTAATATTCTAATGAATCCCCCACCCCACCTCCCTTTCTCACCGGCTTTTAATTGGCAGTCAATTTTCTATAGTCCCCTCCCGGTTAGCTCAATTGGTCAGAGCGCCGGATTTAGTTGTGCGGGAGGTCGAGGGTTCGAGCCCCAGCCGGTTCGATACTCATGGTCTTAAAATAAGTGAGGAGAACTTGCTACCTTTCTATAATAAATGGATAGCGATATTCCAGTCTTCTCGGATAAGGACGAATAAACCGTTGGCCCCATCTCCTGCAGGGTTAGGGGTAGGAGACGTTAATTTCCCACGCACGAGATTACTGTGTAGTGGATGTCCTCTCCTGGGTGGGTGGGAATTGGCCCTGAAAAGCCCCTATGGGGAGTGCTCAACTAACGTATGTATATAGGTATGTATGTATGTATGTATGTATGTATGTATGTATGTATGTATGTATGCTCTGTTGGCGACGACGGATCCCCCCCTCAGTTCCCTCTGAATAAATTAGGTTGACATGTTTTTAGACCGGTTAACCAAGAAACCCTTGCAGTTACACTTTATACTTTGTTCCCAAACTACGCTCGTGTTTTTTCTTTGTTATTTGTTTGTGTTATAATCATGCTTAACATATTTCTCTCTTTTTTTTTTCAAGTAGTTTTCCCTGAAAGGGGTTGAACGTGAATGATTGCGCTCCATTGAAAAAAAAAAAAATTAAAACAAAAAAAAAACTTTCGTTGTACATGTAATCCGATCAAGAAATGACTCTTTTATAGCATTAATAGCCTTCTTTGGGATTAACTGGATAGATAATTACTTTTGTGCAATCATTCTGACAAGATAGCGTTTATCAAACCGAAAAAGGCAGATATTTCTGGGCAAAACATACATGTAAGTCGTACAAATTTATTTAGCATTAGCATGTTCATTTAATTGATAACACCCACGACACCAGACCCGATTGACTCAGGGATTTTCCTGAAGCAATTTGTATTGAAACTAAGAACGAAGAACGAAAGGTTGAAAATTATGTTGCATCGTTTGAAAGTTATTTCCATGACGATTTACCTAATCGTCTTTTCCTCCGCGGTTTCCCCTATGTGTGGCACGAATGCGACTCACAATTCGTTCTCAAAATCGGAAATTTTACTGAAAGTAAATAAAATTCAGACTCGTGTTTCCTGGGTAATTAAATTTGGCCCTCTGATTCGAAGAAAATGTACGTAATACGAAATGCAATCTGTCTATTCAAGCATCATGATCACATTTCAACTTTCTTGTTATCTTTTTATAAAATCGGCTGGTGCATTAAACGAAAGCTTAGCTTTGTAACACCGAAATCGCCCTTTTGACGAGGTCACATTGAGTTAACAGCTCTACAAATGCAAATGAACTCTTCTTGTTTCAACTTGGATATTAACTTCGACATCGAAGCCTTGTACACTACAAACATTGTTACAGCAGTTGTAAACTCTGTGTTTTCCCTCACGGCTGTACTAGGAAATTTTGTCATCATAATGGCATATCAAAGAACACCTTCTCTTCACTGTCCGGCCAATACGCTTCTATGTTGTTTAGCTTTGTCTGATTTTATTGTAGGACTTCTCGCGCAACCGAGTTTTGTTGCGCACAAAGGTGAAATTCAACGTAATGTCAACATGTATTGTGCGACTAGGATCATTACAGAGACTGCAGGTTATATAGCCTGTGGTGTATCAATTCTGACGCTTACACCAATAAGCATCGAGCGCTACTTTGCAGTGTATTTTCACCTCCGATACAAAGAAATTGTGACGAATTTCCGAGCCCTCGAGACAGTTGGCATCTTGTGGTTCACGATGAGTCTCGTAGCGGGTGCAAGATTCTTCTCAATGAAAGACGGGAAGAAGTTCAAAACAGTAACAATTCCTATTTTGTTTTCAAGTTTAATCATTACAATCTCGCCGTATTCCAGGGTCTATATGCAAGTCAGACGCCATCAGCGATGTATCCAAGATCAGGAAAAATCAGCGAGAATCAAATCATCAGAATCGCGAGATGCGGAAAGAAAGTCAGTTGTTACCATGACTGACATTCTTGGTTTATTCGTTTTCTCAAACGAACCGATGATCGCCGTGGTAATTACTCACAAAGTTACTGGTTATACAAGATCCGTAAAAGAGGCTTACATTTATGTCTCTACCATTGTTTTTGTGTGTAGCTCTATAAACCCCATGATTTATTGTTGGAGAACTACTGAGATTCGGTGAGCTGTCCTTAAAATCGTAAAAGTCACATTTCGCCTGCAAGGTCGAACGGAAAGTATCATGAATAACGCTGGCTTACCTGTTAGAGTGAAAGAATTTCAGTGTTGATCTAGATCTAATGGAGTATCGCTAATTTAGAGACAGTTCAAGGTGTATGGGGGGGGGGTGGGGAGGTTGAATGGTTTTGCTTGTGTCAAAAATTTATCTGATTTAAATACAAAGATCCCCTCCCACAGACTGTAATATTCTTACAACCCCCCCTCCCTTCATAGCAGAAAATTGGTAGTCAATTTTCTATTTTCCTCCCTCTATACTCTGTTGGCAACGACTGATCGATATGAACCCCCCCTCTCCCCTAAAAATAATGTGATCCTTCTAAATTCTCCCCCCTCTCCCCCCTGATCATAACTAATGACAGCGGCCTTATCTACGTATGCGTAAAGCATCTTCTGACATTAATAATGACTTATTCAGCCACGTGAAAAAAAGGTTTAACCGATTCATCCTGTTCTAGAAATGGAAGGTCACCTAAAGTAAGAATGGGACCGGCCACTTTACCCACACCACTGAGCCATTTGCTGAGAACTCGAGGAAGACGATTAAAGGAGAAGTAAGCTCATTAAAGATATATTTCACTATCTCAAAACTATGACTCCAGTGGATAACCCAACCCCTTGTTTTGTCATCAATCGTTCTCGAGAAATAAGACATTGAACGCCGCCATTTTGAGTCTCGCTTAGCGACTCGTCCTAGCTCCTAATGTGACGTAACATAGACTCACTACCCCTTGTTTTCCTGTTTCTCAGCTGTCTGTTTGATCAATTATTGAAATTACAAAATACGTTTTTGAGTTACTGGCAAATGATGAATTTTTTTTTTCTGCGATAACTAATTAACGGTGAAGGCACTTTCGCAATTCTCTGCAAGGCCAAAGATAAACGATGCCACCAGCCAATAGGACTTATGCGCGATGACGTCAAAACAATTTCTCGCAACGTCAAACCGAGGCTTGGTGGTGATCGCTTCGCGTGTTTTGTTGGTGTTTAGAGAAAGTAGACGAATGAGCCCATTCGGCGAAGCATTACCGTTTCCATTGCGAAAATGAAATAGAATCTCACCCCACTCTAAGAACTAATCAGTGTAACCTTCATAGTATAGCGGAGAAGACAATTCGAACACACAGTAGAAATCATGGTTTAACTAAATGAGGTACGTAATCAAACTTACAAACGAAAATAAAGGGATCGGTGTGAAATCACAGATGAAAAAGGCGAAGTATAGATTGAAGATAGCGTAGTCATGATTAATGATTGTAGCTGAGTTTATGTGGCGGAATTTGTGTGTTCGAACTAAAAGAAAATACAGCAGAAACTAAACTAAGAAACTATCCTTGAGAAATGTAACACTAGCCTAATTGACAATGAAACGATTATGAAGTGAACTGAAAGCTAGAAATAAACCAATGTACGTACCAAAAATGGGAAATATCTTAGATGTAAAATAAAGAAAGACTTACTTTGGTCTAGCTCCTAGTGATTGTGGGTAACTCGTCGATAGCAGATGATTCGTAAATAGCAGACAAAATTGGGCAGTATCAACAGCAACTAATAGCGATGAAGTATGAAATACAATATCTAGTTCATTTGATTAAATGAAACTGATTAAATAAGAAACTTATAAAGTAATAATCATTAACCAACGAAGAAATAATAGACCAGAACAAACATAACAGAAAAGTACACGAGCTACGCGTTTCGAAACTAACAATCAGACTGCAGTAATAGTTATCGTGGCTCCTTTCAGGAACGGGAAGATAAAAATTATACGTCTGTGGTACACCTCTGCTTTAAGACTAATGATAAATCACGCACAAATATACACCGTGATCCAGCTTCATAATGCGCTTTTTTGTGAAGACCTCTGGCACCTTGTGGACTTATGTCAAACCTTGGCTACATTTTTTCAGTCTTTTTTTCTGTTGAAGTTTCTCTCTTGATGACTTTTTTAAGTTATTTCTGGTTTAATCTGAGCTACAGGAACGGTGTGTCTGCGAACTGGTAAAGGTGGGAGCGAACTTAAAACACAAAAAAGAACGAGGCTATTATCCATCCATCTTAAGCAAAAGAGCTTGTTCAATAAAGGATTTATCATTAAACGAAAAGATTTCGCTTCATTAAGAATCAAGAATGACTTGTTTGTTTGGAGAGCCAACTTTGTTATGTAGCACAATGAATCCACGAGAGTCGTTCATGATTTCTTTGTTTTGACAGTCGTCTCCCGACATTTTCCAAAAACTACGAACTTTGTATTCCGTTGAACGCAATGTTGCGCGTATCTTGCCCGCTCGGGTAGCCAATCAGAGCTGAGTGCAGGATCCGCTTCATATAGGCGGATTCATGCTGACGCCATTGTTTACATTTTTGCTCATTTGCATACGGCTTTGCGTAAAGAAGGAAGCATGTTAGATACAAATTGACTTCAGGCAGCTAAAGAGCTAGTAAACCTTAGTACATGGTGAAATTTTTCGCTCTTTGGGTGTAATATTCAAGGAAAAATAGTCCATCAAAAGCTGCAAGATTTCTGGGTGGCAAAAGCGCTAATGAGCTCATACATTCTATGTAAAATTTTGAGTTTTTAATCCCGTGTAGCACAAAAAGTATTCAATGCATCAGGCTCGTATCCATTGGCCCAGTTAATCGTACTTTGACCTTTCGATATTCAGAACTGATTTATTTTTAGCTCCATCTGAAACTGAATTGCTTATGCTAATGAGGCAAATATTGTAAACAAGGATTCCCGCATTGCCCACTGGCACTGCCAGCGATGCAAAAATACATCTGCATTGCGGACGTATACTTCGCTGTATGATTTGTTCCCAGTCCTCTTGCGTACGTTGCCTATGGTTTTCCAAAAGTTTCCTCGTTTTATGCGAAAGGGAAGAATCTCGCCGCTTCCTTGAGGTGAGAAAAGTCATTGTTAAAAAATGCACGAATCTAACAGTAATGGCTGTAAAATACAGTCAAAAGAATCCGTGATCACATGAAAATATACTTTATGTATAAATTAGCTCTTCGTTCTAGAACAATTAGCCAGCCGATGAAATTTAACATGGCTTACGCTTAGTATCACGATAAAGGCGCTAGTTTGTTTATGTTAGGTTATTGTAGTCCACTAGCGTTTTAAAAGTGTTTTATTTTGATTTTGATGGCTGCGATAAATTAGAATTCCCACGAACTTTCAATTTGTTTGAACGAAGAAGAGCAGGTTTGCATTGTGTTCGATGTTGATAACATTCGCCTCGGTGAATTTCGCGACTGCAATTATAAATGAAAACTATGAACGAAATTCCTAACGATTGCTCATTGGGAGAGAAAGACGACCTTATCGCATAAAACAGGAATAAGCGATTCTATTTTACCAAATATGAGATTAGGCTCTTGGCAAAGTTTACATTTACTCTGTAAAAGCTTTTGAGAAAACACAAGCAATTATGATATAGCTGACAGTTGTCTTAATGTATTCCGATCTTATTGTTTTCATTAGACAGACATCGCTGCACGATCTTAATTCTGTTTGACAAACACTGCACGTAATGGGCCTTGTTTGGTGTTGTTCCTCTTAGTTGGCGTTTTCTCAACTGATATAATTTTTCGCATTTCGAAAAATGTGAAATGTGATCTATATTCACGATTATCCTAATAGACCGCGCGAAAATATACCATGTGTCTAACTCTATGAAAACCGTAAGCCACAGACACTATATAGGAGGATTTGAAATTTTAATGATTGTGAAAAGAAACGAAAAAAAATGCAATATCTTAAAAATGTCGAAGACTGCGGTCCTCGAAAACACATAACCTGTACTATTTTGTGATTAATTTCCGTTAATTTTGGTTAATAACTGCCAGAGTTAAGTGGATTGTTTATGGAACTATGAACAAATGCATTATCTGTATTCAGTTATATTTTGTGTGTGTAGGAACTTGGTTGAATATAATTCATGCTCGTAAATAATACCAGATGGATTAAGATTGTACTTGCCTGTCTAGTGTTACGTCTCAAGGCCTTGTTATTTTTTTCAAGAGTGGATCAAGGTTGATTTGTTATATTGATTACTGGTGCTTTAGAGCTATAGATGACTTGGTGAAGAAAAAATCAGGAACTCAAAATTCAAGATACAGAGGCCTTGATTAAAGTTCTTCAAGGATCCAATATAAAAAAAATGGCATAGGCTCCAACTTCTTTAGCAAATGAATTATTTTTCAGGCCTCAACACTGGAAGTGTAATATTAATTGACATGTTTGCATACAAAGTAAACATCATCCAAAGAGGCAAGGGCAGAATTTGTGGTGCTTACAACATGATTCCTATTTTTGGCTTATCTGCACACACTTAAAACTAACTTTAGCGATGATGACACTTTTTTTCATTAATCTTTGCATTTCAGGATGAAGAATGTCATGTTCTTGGCTCACAGGGCCCATTACTGAGAGACATGAGAAATCCATGATTAAAGTTATTCATAACAGCTAATATGGCAACTTGCGATGGAAGTGCAGCAACTCTGGAGAACCTTGGTCAGGGGCTCTTTGGTGTCCAGTTGGAGGTGATTCAAATTACTTATACTGCAAATGTTATTTAGTTACATGTATTATTTATAGTTAATAGGTAAACACTTTTGTCGCTGTTAGTATGAAATGATTTCAGAACACAATTTCACACTGACTTTTGCTAGGTGACTGAAAAATTGCTTGAAGCAGAGAAAAAGAAACTAATTCAACTAGAGTTACAACTCGTTGAAGAATCAGAGAGCGGAATAAGTGGTGTTGAGAAGGTAAGTTTAACCAAAGATAAATGAATAAAAGGGATAAGTTTTAAAAGAAGTTTCAAAATATTGCTGGAGTGGGGGGGGGGTGCAGAAAACAAAATAATTTGGTGTTATCAAATGAGCTAATAATGTGAAGTGGTTACAGCATAGAGTTTATAAAGCTGATATCTCAAGCATTAGCCCTTTGTCGGAGCAAAACTACTGTAGATTATCTGCTGTAAAGCATAATTCTGGCAAAGGGCTACTGGTAATTCTCCAAACCCAGCTACTACATGTAACTCTTTGTGATTAATTTCATTTCATTTAATAGCTTTGCCAACCGGCAGGGTCACCGCAACAGCTTGCGCCAATTACTGCAGGCCCAATTTATATGATGACCAATTTATATTATCAACACAGTTGATGAAATCAAATTGTCAAGTTTAAGATAAGCCTGCCCAACATCTCCTTCATTATTTTTAAGTCAGAACAACCCAAAGATTTTGGTTGAGAAATAGTTTTAGTGGTGTCCTTAGGATTTTTATAATTGTTTTTTATTCCTTATTTTTTTAGGAAAAAGAATTGACCCGTCAAAAATCAAACTATACGTAAGTACAAAGTTCAACTTCTGCATTAAATAAGTTTGATTTGGATTTTTAAAAGTAACACACCCAAGGGGTGTTTCTTCATACATTGTGCCATTGATTCTGACAGTCGAATCAAGAACTGTTGGTTTTGTGGATGGTAATCTTACACACTGCTGCATCATGATACTTAAAACATGCAGGTGTAGGCTATACCATCATGCGTTGTATTAACATCTTTGCAGACAGTTGTTGGTACAACATCACCAGCTGGCCAAAGAATATGAGGAAGCTGCAAGAGGTCTGTTCAGAAGAACAACCAAGCAGAGAAAGGTAACTGCACATCCTTTGATTTAAGGTGACTTTATGACAGTACAAAATTAATATTGTCTTTTTCTATGCCTTTTTATATTATACACTTTTATTATTCTAAACTTTAATAGTAGACTAGGATTGTACATGTACATGTAGATTATGTTACATTATGGCTAAAAAGGGGTTTGTAATTACATTTAAGAGAAACAGCAGCAAGAAGATAACTGTAAGAAATGTTCCCTTCCGTACTGATCTTACACTTTTCTCTTTGTGTTGTAGTCTACAAGAAGTGTACCTTCTCTTGGTTTCAAGCAAACTGTCAAAGCAAGGGTAAATAATGTTAGATATTCGTGTTGCATTGTGAAAGAAACATAGCGGCTGTAATTACCATAAGCAGAATTCATATATTTATTGAGTTAATTACATGTAGTTGACAATAGTTATATCTTTTATACTTTATTTTGATTGTGTGTCAAATTTTTCTATTTATGAGTAACTAGTATATATAAATTATTTTTTATATTGAAGTATTTTCAAAAATTATTAATTTGATAATTATTAAGTGATGATGATAATGAAAACAATGTATGATCATGCTGAATAAACTATTTTTCTCTTTATTTTTAATTTAGAAAATGAATGTACTGATTGGCTAAATATAGCTTAAAAGACTCACCTTGTTTTTCAGCCCACCATCTTTGGAAATGTGGTTGACGAAGATTGGGAAAATCACAATGGAACAGTAAGATTTCAAAGAATTTCAAGTTTGATACTTAATTTCAATCACTTTGATATTTACATTTAGAGGATTGCCGTTTGGTTTCCAAAATTTTAGACTGGTCACTAGAGATCAAATTCGGGTCACCAATAAAGAAAGACAATTTGTCCAATTATATTATCTAAATCTCAAAGCTTGATTCATGGGCAACCAAAGGGAAAAAGGCAGATATTTGTAGAAGCAGAACCAAGCTTATAAAAATTACAAACTGAAGTTTAGGTGGATATACATGATTTTTTTGTTTCAATAACAATGCAGTATAATGCACTCGACAATAATGCACTTTTTCTTTACTTAATTAATTATTTTAAGTGAGGTGGCTCTCCCATAAGCCTGGTGGCTTCTTGGGTCTCCTGTCCTTCTAACTGTTATCGCTGTAATTAAATATTTTTTATTGTTAAATAAAGGCAAATAAAGATGATGATGATGTTTAGAGTGGATTACTATGGAACCTCTCTTGGTTTAATGCTGAACATTACTGATAGTGATTATATATTGATATAATACAAGTACATGTATCTACTTGTTGTACTCATCATACTGTTATTAAGAAACTGTTTCTTAATGGGCTAGGGATCTTTTTTAATTCCTGTTTCAACTTCCAGTACAAGTATATCTCTTTCTTTTATAATGACTTATTATTTTTTTCTCTCACTTAGTCTGTGAAGAAGATTAGCCTTACTCCATCAAGAACTCCATCTATCCCTTCAAACCTTTCAGAGGTGTGCTGTAATTTCTAGTGAGTTCTTACTTAGATTAACTGCACCTTTTCTCATCCACCACTGGAGTATCAGATGCCAACCTCACCTTGGATGTTATTGATGAACCTGAACATTTCAATCAGCCTGCTCTTGAATTGGTGAATAAACGCTCTGCATGTCAGGGTTCTCATTAAGTGCCGACCGCTTAGCTGAAAGACCAGGCTACTTTGATTTCTGAGCCACCTAGTTTTCGTGAAATAATCTGTGTGTAAGTTGTAAAGAGTAATGAAAATAAATTGGTGTGAACTGTCTGCTTCATGAATTGATGAGAACCCTGCATGTAGAATGTCAAATACATGTAATGCGAGGCAGCAAAATAATTCTTACTGTACATGCATCAGGAAAAACCATTTCACAAAGTAACATATCACTCGTGCCTTCCTTTACATCTGGTAGGGATTATCAGGGCTCGACACTAACTTTTCAACCTACCAGCCAAGTGGCTTGTGACAACTTGCGGATGTTACAACAATTTCTGTTTGTGTACTAGCCAAACTGGCTGGTGAAAATCGAAAACCTCTGTCTAGCCAAAACTGAATTATTGTCGAGCTCTGATTATGCTGAAAATTTAAGTTTCATTTGTTATAATTATTTATAATCAAATTATTTGACTTGTTAATCAATTTTTTTGTTTGTAGGGTGTTGTGTTTGAGAATGGACATATTACAGCTGGTACTCTAAGTGGTCTTATCCAGCTCTTGGTTCCTCTTCCAAATTACTACCCTGATGTATGTAATTTTTTTTTTGTCATAAATATATAAAAAAAAATTATGAATACATAAGAATAAAGGCTGATAGTTTTGAAAGAAACTGTTTGGGGTTGTGTTGGTGGGAGTAATGAATTAATGAAAAGCACACACAACCCACAATTCCTCTATTCGCTCTGATGAAAGGCTAACCCTCGAAACGTCAGCTTTTGTAATCGTTACGGTGGCCAATTTACCATTTCAACTTTGTTGATATATCCAAATTATGAATACATAACTTCTGACCACTAATTTTTAAAGATATTCATTGTCTGAAGGACTTGAACAGGATGTGCATGTGTTTGTAACTTACTCATTTTCAAAGGATTAATAGAGAAGGCTTATTTAATGTTCCTTTCACTCTTGTGGGAGGGGGACTTTGATATAACTCTAATAATTTTAATGCATGCTTAGATTTAGAATAGAATTGCATCATTGAATAAAATCTCAAATTCTGATTGGTTAGCAAAGCGAGGTATTTAGTATGGAATTGTGATTTGAAAACGAGACTAAGTGATAATGTTTTGTGTCTATGTAAACATGGCAACTATAAGTAATCGCTTTGCGATTCATGTGATATCGGTTTTCACATGTATGCAATTTGTTACAGAGTTCCCTCGTTAAGCAATGAATTTTCCTAAAAATAGTCTTTTTGAGCTTCATAGAGGAAATGAACATAGTGTTATTTCATTTCCATAGCTTTTATCAGTTACTGTATTTCAGTTACATGTATGTCAAATGATAGACTTTACAAAAAGCGAATTGTAGAAATAGTAATATGTTTAGTATACCATTTTTACAAATTGCTATTTGCAAAATGAGGTACACTGATGTCATTATATTTGTAGAGTATGCAGTTATCTATAATTAATGATCATAGTTTCCTACAAATTTATTATACAGTGAAACTGTATTTGCTAGAAAAAATCAATTGCCATAAAGTTTCAATTCTTGTCAACTTGTTTTTCCCAGAGGACATACATCTTTGCATTTCTACTATGCTCAAGGCTGTTTATTCTTCCAAGTGAATTGCTGTCAAGAGTTTCAAAGGTAAAAAAAATCTGTTTCTCGAGGCAGAAAGTGATCAGTTAACTAAATGATTATACACAATGTACATACTATTAGTTAATTAACTACCCATTAATGAGTAATCTCAGTAAATCCCTTTGTTTTTGAAATTATAGTCATGTGCTGAGCAGATAAGAAAAGCTCCTTCTGAAGAGGTTTGTAATCTGTTGTGTTGAAAACAAAAATGTCGTTAACATGTGGATACTGTTATGTCCACTAAGTTCTGTAATTTTTCTTTTACTTCAACTTTACAATTTACCTGAATTGTTGTTGATTAATTGATGGAATTACCTTTTTCTGCTCCATTTTAAATGTTTTTTCTTTATCATTCCAATTTCAGACCAAGGTGCTTGCCTTTAATTTGGTTAAACTATTGAGGTAATCTTTCAAACATTTTTTTACAAATGGAGGGAAAACTTTGGTTTTATTTAATGTGGTTGTTTAACACCATGTTGTTATAGTGAACTCTTTCTAATGGCCATTTGAACGGGAGAAAGAAATTTAAACAGTCAGTTCTGTTAAGTTTATAATTATTAAGCGAATTGTAATGTTGATTTTCACTTTAAAAGTTTGTCCTGAGGAGTTCCTTTAATTCTGATAAGGCTGGGTAGTATACTAA